CATGTGACCAGACCGTGTTAACCTGTCATTGGCGAACACACCGAGGGAGGCAGCTTCAACCCTGGTGACTAGCGTCTGGATTAGATTAGTTTCTTCTCTGGCACAGTTGACGAGATAATGATTCTGCGTCCTGAGAGTAGTAAAGACACTCTAGGTTCAGGACAAACATGTGTGGATTCGATCAGACTAACGGTTTCTTCAGATTGCTTCTATGTATTCTTTGAGCTCTTAACGGTTTCTGACGACTGCAGCGACTGTATTGTCATTCGCATGTTCAAACGCAGTCGCGATGGATCAGATCTAAAGTTGTTGATGTAAAGTTGAAAAGCAGTGAGGTAGATGAACTTTAAGATACAGCGTCACTCACAGCACGGTATTGGTTAGTAAGTCAGCCAGTCTCGATGACCGCGTATCCTTTCTAGTCGCGGAAGTAGACGTGTCAGACAGTGTCTCAAGCGTTCCCGATGTTGTGCCAGCGCTTGAGTTTCGGCAGAAGGGAACCCGAGTCTGGAACAGGGTCATTGGGTTAGGTTGTTTTTGGGCGTTCTAAGATTCTTCATTTCTGAAAGCATTCGAAACACGTGCGAAAACTGTTGCAGCAGTGACTTGTCTCAATCCGGACCACGTGGAGAAGGCTCAGATCAGCGATTTGTTTTGGAAACCCATTTCAACCTCTTTTCTCCCGATCGAATGGTTTCAGTCATGGCCCATGATATAGGAGGGCATTGGGGTGAGGAATGGCTTGAACACAGAGAGATTGGTTTTCAGACTCAGCTCTGGTTTTGTCACAACGGTTCAGACTTAGTTTAGGCGTGATGCCCTTCCAATTCGCCGGTCGATCTTTTTCTCTCGTTTCCATTACCCCTAAGCATAACCCCCTGGTACGTGAATTTCATTAGTCACAGAACGCAACCTCGGCGGAGACCAGGACCAACAATGAAAGTTGTCGACTTAACACAAGTTGCTTTGAAGCAGAACCTGCGATCAAAATATAGTGACTTGATGGCTTGCAGGCACTGCCACAGTTTTTTGTACAGGATCCGGGCATAGTCTTGCAACAGGTTTACAGGGAACGTGAAATCTGGAGGAGCGAACTCCCGCGATTTCTCAGTAATCTGACGTAAAGCGACGGTCTGCTCATACAACCTTTGGCCTGACCTGAAATCACGCTAGTCTCTGTGTGCCATGGAGTCGGTAATTCCTCGGCGCCTCTTTTCTAACAATATGCGTAGACCTTTCCCGGAGGCTCAATAAGGTAATGCTTCGATAACTGGATCACTTCTTACGGTTTCCCTTCATGAACAGGATTGGTATAACCTCTGTTATCTAATCCGCTGATAAAAGTTGCTATTTTCCCCGTAGTTATTACAGCTTGGTAGACATGCTGGACACAAAATGTCTTATTCGCTTAAAACTAAGTATTTAAGCTCAGGTTTCATTGATTGAAAACAGTCTTGCTACTTCTGAAGCGTTTTTCAGCATCTTGGACTTAATCTACTGATATCCAAAATACAAATATCCGTTGCACCCTACTCTTCAAACAAGCCTTCTGCGGTTGCTAAAGGTTTTGTAGTTCCGCAAAAGTACTCGCCATCGCCGAGTGTCCTCATCTTCAGTAAGAGGGCGTTCAGTCGTGTTCTTCAAGTTTCTTAGAATGACCCTCTTTCAGTCGCAGACGCGGCAGATGATGAGGCAGAGAAAATCTTGGTTATCGTCGAGAACTTTAACTCTAGGCCCTCACAGAGCTTTTTCCGGGAATCGACTTTGGCTTTGGCCGCTGCTTTCTCTGCCGCATTGCGCTTCTTCGTTTCTTGCATTCGCGTTGATTGAGTTTAGCTTCCAAACAGTGTCTCGAATGCAGCCTTCTTCTCCTCTGCGTTCACTTCAACCTCT